CCCTAGCTGGAAGCCAGAACAAAGTATTGTCAAGGACTGTCATTGCTTAAAACTTTCTTGGACTCACACAACGTTAGGTCTTGCTTGGCGGAGAAAACAAAATGAAGGAAAAAGCGAACTTTGACGTTTGGTGCTTAGAAAAGTGAGGAAGAATGAATGTCGTCATGAAGCAAAGTGAAAGAGGAAATGCAAAATAGTGAACTTCTCTGAGGCAGAATGGCTCAAAACATTTACCCAGTTTGTTCGATGACCCGGCGGCTTTGCAAACGTCCATCTACCAAAACAATGTCCTTAGCCAGCCTGGTCAGCTCAAGTCTTTGCACCAAAGGGTCGATTGTCGATGGGCGAATTGGGCCAGTGGGTTGGCCAGGGGTGGGGACAGCGTCCATGGCACGGGTGGGGCCATGGGCGGGGCCATGGACGCCGCCACAACGGGAGCACGGGACGGGGCCATGGGCAGGGGTAGCTGCTTGGCTGTGAGCCGCCTGGCTGTGGCTTTCTCCTGTGTCGAGACGTGGAGGGGCGGTTGGGTTATGGGCGGCCGTGGGGGTGACGCTGTCCATGGCATTGGTGTGGGGCCATGGGCGGGCCATGGACGCCACAACCGGAGTTAACGGACGGGGCCATGGGCAGGATAAGCCCGCCAGCCGAAAGCCTTGGGCCAGTGGGTTTCGCCCAGGGCCGAAGATAGGAGGGATCGGGCGGGGAGATGGTCGGGGCCATGAGGGGGGCCAAAGGCGGGAGCAGGGGTGGGGGAGGGGACTTGGCCAAGGGCTTGGCCAGGGTCTTGCCCAAGGGCCAAGACAGGGGAGGGGACGGGGGCGGGGAGACGGTCGGGGCCATGAGGGGGGTCAAGGGCGGGAACAAGGGGGTGGGCGGGGGCTTGGATCAAGGCGGGGCCTGTGGCAGGGGGAAGGGCAGGGGCTTGGGCAGGGGCTTGGCCATGGGCGTCGTTGGCGGCGGAGTTGGCAGCGAAAAAAATTTACTAGAAATTACTTGTAGCCCATCCGCCATGATCCATGGCGCCATGCAGCACCGTGACCCGTGCAACATTAAAAATGGAGTTATCTCCCTCTTGCATCTGTAACACTGGGAACAAAGCCAGTAAGTTGTTGCTTGGGGAGCCCTCGCAACGGTGAAGATCGCTGACAGAGGCACGTCTGCAAACAAATGAAGAAGTCAAACGATGCTGAAAAGAGAAAAGAAACTCGAAACGCTAGGAGCTCAGAAGAGGGCAGAAAGGCAAACTAGGACAGTATCCTTTGGTTGAATAGTTTTTTGGAAGACCATCTCAACACACAAGTAGAGCAGAAAACAACATTCGTCAACAACGCAGTCGCACAGCAAACAGAGGCTGAAAAACCTCAACTTTCACGTTCTAATGGTAGAAGTGCTATGCCGCCGGCATAGCAGTTAGGGTGTTTAAGATGTTGTAAACTGACATTCTGACCTTCAGTGTGCTATGCCACCGGCATAGCAGTCAGGGTGTTTCAGATGTTGTAAACTGACATTCTGACCTTCAGTGTGCTATGCCGCCGGCATAGCAGTCAGGGTGTCCAAGGTGCTGTAAACTGACATTCTGACCTTCAGTGTGCTATGCTGCCAGCATAGCAGACAGGAGTGTCCCGGAGAAGAATTCTTCAAAATTTTCCCATTTCATCAACATCGTGAATTAGTCACTAGTCCGCATGTCAGACAGCGAATTGTTGAGTACGTACGAATGTTAACGACAACTTCCTGGGGGAAGGTCTTGCTGGCTTCTTGAGCGAGCTGGCTTGAAACACCAACGAGAAGGCCGGGGCGTCATGCCCACTTCGGGGGCCCACAACAATATCCCCCTCTTCAATAGCCAAGGCGTCTGCCGCTCTGCGTGGGGCAAGGAAGATGATGGCGTTTTCTCTTCGGGCGGGCCGCCTGTCGCGAGCCGTTTCTCTTCGGGGGCTGCCGCCAAAAGGCAGTCTGGGTTACGCCAGGTGCAATTACAAGACATTCTCTGCCCCTGGCGGCTGCCGTTGTGTAGGGCATGAAACCCGCGCTGTGTGCAACGAACTCTCTAGCTGCGACAAACGTTGCCCACGTGGCATTAGCCGCCCATTGTGAACCCCGGCGTACCCGACATCCTTGGGCGGCCCTGCCCGCGCGTTGTGTTGTTCACTGTGCTGGAGGCGGACCTCTGGCGGGGGTGCGAGTTTGCTGTGTGGGTGCACGCAGCAGCTGGCAAATAAGAACGGAAGCTTTCCAAAATTGTAGGATTGCAGTGGAATCTTTTCACTTTTTGAGAAATCCGAGATTTCGCAATCTCAGATTTGGTGTTGGACAGCAGCCCTTGAAAGCACCGTCCAGTGGCGGCGCCTCTTCTGTCAAGCACAAGCTGCTTGTTCACGCTGCAGTTGCGTCTCGTTCGTTCCGGTCACAGCCCGCCACGGTTGTTACCGTGCCCTAGCCAGCCATCATTACCCAGGTCCCGCGGCCATCCTTCAACCCCAGGACCCCAAGAACCGCCTACTTCACAGCAGTGTTGGTCCACCGCCGCCAACTGCCACAGCCACCGCAGCTGCCGCATCCTGCCGCTGCCACCCTCTCCTACAGCAAACCAAGCGCCCTCCCCAAACAACGGCTTTCTTCTTGGCAAACGCAGCCAAGCCCGGAAGGTAAGCACACCTTGTCAAGTTACGTAGTCACTGTGTGCAGGAAAGCACCTGCGCGAGTTGCACACACAACACAGAATACCTCCTAACCCCATCTCCTCGCATCCTCCGTGAGGCAGTGTACGTGCCTAGAGAGCTTGTGGTCAGACAGGGAGACGCATGACTAAAATGAAAATTGGTCTGTTAGAAGTTGACACCATGGCAAAGGAGTCAAGAATTTGTTGTCCCCGGAAGGCAATCATACCAATGGTGCAAAGGCCAATGGAAACACCGTTAGCAAGAATTGTGCAAGAAACCATAGAAATGGAGGTGGAGGACGCCATTCTTTTGGCACTCTATACTGCAGTGACTGGGTTCGTAGTTTTGCCACCTTAAATGAACAATTTGCTATGCCGCCGGCATAGCAAATTGTAGTTCCAGTTTCCAGCAATGGTCGTTTCCAGTGTGCTTGTGCGTAACGGCAGGAAAAGAAAGGCTTGTCCAAATTTCTGAAAACCGCCATTTTTTGTGTGCTTGTGCCACGCCGCCGGCGTAGCAAAAAGTTGTCCCAGTTTTCGGAAACGGTCGTTTCCGGTGTGTTTGTGCTATGCCGCCGGCATAGCAAACGGTTGTCTCGATTTCTGAAAATGCTCTTTCTAGTGTGCTTGTGCTATGCCGCTGGCATAGCACAAGGTTGTCCCTGTTTTCTGAAATTGTCGTTTGCAAGGAGCGTGTGCTACGCCGCCGGCGTAGCTAAGGGTTCCTCAAAGTCTGGAAACGGTCATTTCCAGTGTGTTTGTGCTATGCCGCCGGCATTGCAAACGGTTGTCCCGATTTCTGAAAATGATCTTTTCCAGTGTGCTTGTGCTATGCCGCCGGCATAGCACAAGGTTGTCCCTGTTTTCTGAAACTGTCGTTTGTAAGGAGCGTGTGCTATGCCGCCGGCGTAGCTAAGGGTTCCTCAAAGTCTGGAAACGGTCATTTCCAGTGTGTTTGTGTTATGCCGCCCGCATAGCAAACGGTTGTCCCGATTTCTGAAAATGCTCTTTTCCAGTGTGCTTGTGCTATGCTGCCGGCATAGCACAAGGTTGTCCCTGTTTTCTGAAATTGTCGTTTGTAAGGAGCGTGTGCTACGCCGCCGGCATAGCTAACGGTTCCTCAAAGTCTTGAAACAGCCATTTCCAGTGTGCTTGTGCTATGCCGCCGGCATAGCAAACGGTTGTACAAGTTTCCGGAAACGGTCGTTTCCATTGTGCCGGTGCCTTGCCACTGGCGTAGCAAAATGTGATTGCTTGTGCTGCAAGCTCCCTCCCCGGTTTTCTCTTGGTTGCCCTGCAATCACCTCGACAGCAGCGTGTCAACACAGCGCGTTGTTTCATTTCTGCAGAATGTCAAAGCGGGCGACCTTTGCGTCTGGTTCTGGAGAGTCACAGGGCATCTGCGGTGCAGTTGACCCTCCATGCAACAAGCCAGGGGCGCAGTACTCAGCCCTGCCTTGCACCCGCGAAAGCTGCAACCGGGTAGTTCATCTGCTCTGCGCCGCTGCTGTGGCCAACCACATTCGCCCAAGGCTCTTGCAGTTGGCCGGCCCAATCGACCTCAGGAACGTTTGCAGCTTGGGGTGTGCTGAGAAGATTTTGAAGGCTGCACTAAAGAGCGCCCCAAGGAAATCTGACAGGCCCGCTTACAAGGAATGCGCTCAACGAACACTAGTTGTCATTTCCAGCTATGTTCGTCCTGTCATGAGCGAAGAGGAATTGAGGCAACAGAAGAAGTGAACAAAAAGTATCCGCCACCCGAAAACCCTGACAAGGAAGAGGTCCTGCGAGCCGGCGACGACGATCGCAGCGAATCGACAGAGGAAGAAGAGAACTCGGAACAATCAACGGAACAAGAGGGAGACTCTGGGAATTCGTCCGAGGAGAAAGGGCAGCCCAGCAAGCTACGCAAACTACCACATGGCGTTAAGCAGGTAAATTGCCTCCTCAATTTTTCAAAACAGCTGCCTGGCTTAGAAACTTGATGTTTCTTTTTCCTTGCTACAAACTCCAAAAGTTGATTCTTCTTTGGACATTGTCTCTTTAGGCTGCAAAAGCCGATGTTGTTGGATCCTCGGGGTCAGCCGCCTCACAGAGAAGAGGACAGCAGCAGCAAGATGTGGATGCAATGGCAGTGGATGTTGTAGAAGGAGACCTGGAGGCTTGGGTCGAAAGAAGACTAGATACAATTGTCGAGCCGCAGCCGCTGCAAACTCTTGACACGGTCAAGGACAAGGACATGTTGTCGTTGGTGGGATACAACTTCCGCGATTGTGCTAAAGATTGTCTTTTCATCCATGACACATCAAAATTGGAGCAACTGCGTCTCCCCAAGATGATCCCTGGGTCAGTAAGGCTGGCGTACGATCAGGTTGACAGATTTGTGCAAGGTCATTACGGGCTAAAGGCCTCCAAAGATCGAAAGGAAATCATCCAGAACTTGTTGTTCGTGCGCCTAATGGGGTTTGCGGCAATCTACACGGACCTGGGTAACCCTTTGTGTTACAACAGACGACCCTCTTATGCATCAAAGCTGCTGCAGAGGGTCATCGTTGAGTCACGCGTCCAAACACTGACAGAGAATTTCGACTTGCAAGCACTGACGCCAGCAGTGGTAGTTTTTGATCCGACCACCACGCAGAGGATGGAATCCGTCCGAGAGCAGTGGGAAGCAGGGAACCCAGGTCTTTTGCTGGAGGCGGTGGAGCATTACACTGAGGGGCAGGAGACAGAGTTCTTCACAATTGTGGGGAACCACTCCACCCAAGCGCATGTCAATTGCTCCACGAAGGACCCCAGCATCAAGTTGAGGCGTGCCACATTTGTGTTCTTCAGTGGCCAACTTACTGATGACGACTTCCGGTTCATTAGTCGGACAGAGAACATGTCCGTACAGAGAGCGGCAAGCACAACCACCTACAAAGACCACACTGAGCCCCTGAACATCATTCCCTTCATTTGCGAGTACTGGAAGCAGTTTGGAAGACCGCCAAGGCCGCAGTCCTCAAGGAAGAAGAATCGGACCAAAGCAGAGCCAGACTATGCAGATTTTCAAACCCTTCTACATGCCGTCCTTGAGCCTCAAGTAGGGGAAAGTACCGAAAAGGATGAGAAGGAACTGCAGAAGAAGATGCAAGCCATCAAAACCAAGTACCAAGCGCTGAAGCAAAAAGCCGTAAAGGACGTGAAAGAAGCACAAGCCCGGAAACAGAAATTGAAAGAGGTGTGTCTCTTCAAGTCCCACGCTTGCTGCTGCACACCTTGCCTTTGAGCTTTGTTTATCCACGTACTACAACTAGTTTGTGGCATGTGCTTGCAGTTTGAGGCGTCCGAGCGCAAGGCCTTGTCGGAGGCACAAAGGGACCTTGGCGTCATCCGGTACTTTCATGCGGACTTGAACATTGCCATGCTGCCAGACGATGCTTACGTTTTGCTGATGAATGTCATGAAGCAGCTGGACAATGGCAAAATGTGTGGGATTAAGGAGGGAATCAAAGCTGAGCAGGTGCACGTAAGGCGCCACCATTACAAGGGCATCTCGTGCTTCTCCATTGGTTTCTACTTGGACACCTTCGAAGCGCTGCTCGACCCCCGAACCCAAGACGACTTAGTTGCAACCGTTGCTAGGGTCAGCAACCCAAGAGAGAGTGTGCCCAACTGGCAGGCGACTTCTACCAATATGTGGTTCACCAACTTGAAGAGTTACGCAGAGTGGGAAGGGGGTTTCCACATGTACAGGATGCTCAGAAAAGTGCTGGACGACCTTCTGCTAACAACAGAGAAGGCTATGGAGTGGCGATGACGTTGCGAGTGCATTGTTGAATGGGACTGGAGGGTGGAGACGTCCTTGGAGGCTTTCAAGAGTGTGAATTGTCGGCTACTGTGTCTCGCCCTGAAAATGCCGGGCAAAGAGCCTCTTAAGAAGAAGGCAATTGAGGACCAAGTACTAGTGTTTGCTCCAGATGATAGAAACAGGGCCCGCAAATTGTACCAAGTGACAGTCGACGCTGATCTGGCTGGTCGTGGCTGGATACACCAATTCGTCCACCCAATGTTTGCCTTCAACTCCAGGAAGTCCGAGACTACGTTGGTGGCAAAGGCATACTTTGACAAGATCCTTGACGAATGGAACAGAGTCTTCAATCCGGAAGAGCATCTGTCCATCCTGCCGGAGCGAACACTGAATGATAGTGTGCAACGCCTCTTTGGGGAAGTTGTGAAGCGCACGCCCTCTACGATAAACCTGATTTACACCGGAGTTGGGAATGGCCTGCACTTGCTCACGGAGGATGAACGTCTGTTCATTACCCCGTTTTTTGAAGTGGCCAAGACCTGGCTTGCAAGCCAACCGTACCTCCTTTACTCACACGCGCAGTACACCAACTATCTGCAAAATGCTCTCATGGACCCTTTGCTCAGGCTGTTCTACACTGTGTGCACGGTGAGTCAGTACACTTGTTGCCTGCAGGTGGTGTTGCAACAAACTAAAAAGTTTTTGAGGCTTGTTTCACTCTCGCCTTCTTGTTTTCATTCTTGCACTCAAATTGCCTTGCTTAATGCAAACAATGAAATACATCGTTCTGCTTGCACCACTACAACGTTGTCATGAACACGAGTATGAGTTGGGACAAAATGTTTGCTGCGCTGGCAGAAAACCGCAAAACCGTCGAAAGTTGAAAGGTGCAGAAGAAAAATTCCGACTGTTAGCTATGCCTGTGGCATAGCAAAGTAGCCGACACAATCACTTTCAAGCAAAAAGTGTTTGGGTATTTTGTTCTGCCCCCGGCACCAAACTCTGCAATTGATTTCATGAAAATTACTTGCTGTTCTGCCATTTGTTGTTCTTGTTTCAACGCTTTCTTCCCTGACAACTGACTCTTTGTGTTTCCTAGCAACAGTCCGGGAGCGTGACGGAAGACACACTTTCAGTGTCCTGTGAACGAAGTGAAGAGGCCAAGAAGTGAAAGACGTACCTCACAAGTGAGGCTGTGGGCCTGACATCCAATGATGTTGCGAAGGCACTGAATCGTTTCCTTCTGTGCCGGCAACGACACTGGAGGTGGGATGTCTACAATAGTTATCACGAACCTTGCTGGCGCCCTTGGCTCAATGACACGCAGATCGCAGCACTCAAGAGGGAGTGGAAGGAGGGCGAGGCGCCCAAACCTACCATCCTTTCTGAAGAGGAACAGTTGGAGGCAGTGAGGGTGAACGAGCAAGAGCCGCAGGAAACAACCATGCCCACTTCAATTGGGGAGGGCCACGAGGGAGCTGTGGAAAGAGAGAGAGTGGCGCAAACAGATGAAGGTGAACGTTCGCAGGACTTTGAAATGGACACTGTCTTCACTGGGAGAGTGGCTGGACAGGATGCTAAAGTGTCTGCCGACAAGGAAGACCGGTGGACAAGAGGTCGTGTTAGATTGCAAGCGGTTAAGTTCTCAGAATGGGTTCATACTACAAGACGTGAGAGTAACGCTTGCAGGGCAGCCTTCGTGCCGTGGGGTCCCTTGAAGCTTGCGCGGTACATTGTCCCCCGTTTGGGGGTCGACTTCGGAGAAGAATCTGGACGTGCTACAGCAAAGTGCGCCAAGGAGATCCACACCTAGCTGGTGATGGGCGACGCTCTGATTTCCACATCATATGCAGCTGTCGCAAATGCTATGGGTGGTAGGAAGTTTGAATGCGTGGTGGTTGACCCTCCCTTTGGGTTGGAAAAGCACAATCCAAACGACGACTTCTGGGACTCCCCGGATTGCTGCTGGAAGAGCAAAAATCTCATCTCATTGTTGGATGCCCTCCACAAGGCACAGCTTCTCCTGGAGAAACCTAGGCCTTGGTCCTTGGCAATGTACCTCAAAGTGGAAGATGTTGGGAAGGTCGCCCAAGATTTGCAAAATTGAGCCGGCGAGGTGGATTATCTTCAGTGGGGCGGTCAATTCTCAGTGGTTTTTGGGAGGGACGGCTGGGCACATCTCCAGCCTAGCACGCATACTGTGGGGCACTGCCAGCACATGCTAATAGCAAAGTTTAACAATGGGAGCGAGGCTGTGCAGGCCGATGACGTCAGTGGCGGACTAGGGGGCCGGTTTGTGTTCAGCTTCGTAAAGCCAACAGTTCGCAGCTGGTACTGTCGCCCCGATCTGGACAGTCTCCTTTTGGCTGACGAGAGCGAGCCTGCCAACAGGACGCAAAAAAGCATAGATGAAGCTAGGCTAACTATCCGCCTTCTGACACCCAACCAGGGTTGCGTGTTGTCGGCATGTAATGGCACCGCCACCACCCTGATCGCGGCAGCCCTGGAAGGCCGCGACAGTGTGGGGGTTGACAAGTCTGATTTGCAGAATAATTGCGCACTACGAAGGCTGAATGCAATGTTCCACAGCGAGGGCTTGTTGTGCGCTGCCCTGGAGCTTTCAAGGGATCCTCGAAGTGATGTTGTCAAGGACATTCAAGCTCTACAGACTCGGGGGACCTTGTTGGATGGAAGTGCCCCCCAGGGGGAGGCAAAACTGGGGCCAAGTGTGGAGAATTGGCTTCAAAAGGAAGTGAAGGAGCTGCTGTCGGTGGGCATGTTCAACAGGCGTTATTGCGTGCGGGACATTCTTCTCCCTCACACTCTGAGGAGTTTGTCGAGGAAAGATCTGCAAACTCTGGAACTCATGGCTGGACATGAGATTACAGAGAAAATGCTGCCAGCAAGCAACTGGAGAGTTCTGACCCGCCCCATACAAATGGCACAGAGAACTGTGCCCGTTGAGGATGTGAAAAAGGCCATCCACTTAATCTACCTCAACAAGGACGAACAGGGTTTCACTCTCAAAGAACCTGAGGAACTCGCAAAGGTGTTGTTGTCACTCATGCACAAGGATGCCATGAGCGTAGTGGACAAAAGGGAGTTCCTGAGCACAATGAAGGACATGAAACGTCCAAAGCAGGGTGGTGCTCAGTCTGAGGGTGACGGGGAGGCTAGTGTACAACGCGACACTGTGATGAACGCAGGACAAAAGGATGGGACCCAATCGGAAGTGGTCATGGGGGAGGCTGGTGTAGACGCTAGTTGCGAGGTTGAGCCAAAAAGTGCAGTGGAAGTGGAGATGGACGAGGGAGGTGGAAACGTTGTGGATGACAGCAGTAAAGATGCTCCTATGGATGATGCTGACCACATCTCCTCTTCAAGGGATATTTGAGTCTCATTTGTCCACTTTCAAGTGGAAGGGATAGGGGTGATGCCCGGGCTGCTCTTAGCTCAACACTCACTTGTTGCTGCGTTCCCTACCCGTGTAATGCTGCTGGCCAATTGTTGCACCACAACGAGTTTGCACCCTTGTGCACTGGCGTTTCTAGCTTCCCACTTTTCGTATGCCTCTTGAACGCTACTCGCAAAGTCTTTCTCAACTATTGGCAACTGCGGCAGTGAATTTGGTGACAGCTTTGCTATGCCGGTGGCATAGCAAAGCTTTGTCACTTTCCCACTGTACAAGCCAACTTGTCTACAGGTTTGTTTTGCCCATGGGCACAACAAACACCCCACTTTGGCTTGCTCTGTGCGAGCTCCCATGCAAAAGCTCATAGCGGCACCATGTGCAGCTGAACGCCAACACGACCTCGTCATTTGCCACTTTTGATTGTCCCCTCCGTTGTGCCTTGGGCAAAGCAAAACCCCGTGGGACCCCTTCTACAAGAGACAGAAGCGGCAAAGTCCTCATCAACGTAATAAATTTGCAGTGAATGCACGTCTTGGTGCCCCACGCTTTCTGGGCTTTCCCTCGCATTAATTGTTTTCATTTTGTCACCCACAGCTCAACACCACAACAAGCGAGCGTGCTCGCGTGGTATCTATGCGTTGTGTTTGCAAACATGGATGACATCGTTTGCAGACGTCGTTGGTTAGAACACAAGTCGGTTGCTACAATTTACCTTCCCTACTGTGGAACAACGTGTTGATCCACGTTGCCCTTTGTACCTTCCACACCCTTCATCTCTTGTTGTTACCACATTTTTGCAGAAACCTGAGGGGCAAGTTTTCCAGAACCATGAACGAGGAGGTCAACCAACTGTCGCCCGAGCAACGAAGCCAAGTTAGAAAAGGCCTAGGCTTTGTCTGCACATTCCTTGGCTATCCCAAACCTCAAGAAGCTGTAGAGCAGTGCTTCCTCTGCCACGAAGGGTGTCACATGAGATGCTGCGAGAGCCTAGCCAAGAACCAAGAGGTTTTGGGCAAACTCTTCAACACCCAAATTTGTTTTGGGTGCTACGACAACCTCGCCAATCGTTGGAGAGGACAAGGCGGCAGTTCAATGTGTGTGGGCCCTTCCGGGCGTACCCTCTCTCAGTCCAAGGGCACTTTAGGTTTGTGGTGTTGGCTGTGGTTAAGCCCTTGCTGTCTGGTTGCCCGGTTAAACCTCCTTAACCCTTGCTCGACACTGGCACAGGTTCACTCCACACCACGGCGAGAAATGCTGATTTGCTGTTACGAGCGCCTGGGCACTTCAACGTCCAACCAGCACCAAAGTATTTCTATGTGCACCTCTGGTGCCTCCCCGGCACCAAAAAGACAACGGTCCTCTCGGAGCAATGCAAGCAAGCTTGGAAGCTCAAGATGCTTTGCGACAGTGGTAGCAGCCCGGGAACTGTCAGAAATAGGTACTCCAAACAGGGCTGTTTGCTATGCCTATGGCATAGCAAAAGGAACGGAGCAAGAGCACTTTTCCACAGTGGCTCCGGCGACCTCCTTTACTGTTTTTGTTTTGTAGGGCACAAATTGCTGAACTCAAGAGGAGCTGGTTTCTTTTCACGATGTGCTCCTGATGCAGAAGATGACGATCACATCAGGAGGGTCCACAAGGAGATGGTGGAATTCATCGCCCCAGAAGTGATGAACATGCAAACTCCCAGGCTGAGAGAGGTCAAAGGCAAAGAGCCAGATGACCCAAAAAGGAACGTCAAGGATCTTTTGGCAAAGATTCAAAAAGTGTGCGAGGAGTCAGAAATGCCAAAGGAGTGCTGCAATGATGGATGTTGTAAAAAGTTCAGCGCCAAGGAAGTCCTGTACAGACGCTTGCACTTGGCGGCAATGAGGCACAAGAGGAAGACCAACGACCTCAACACCCTAATCGAGGTCTGTCGAGTTAGAGCAGGTGACCAGCGTGTTGAGTACAACTGGGTGGCAGATGGGGTGGTTGTGTGTCGAAAGTTCTTTTGTTACTTCCAGAACGTTGGAAGCACCATTCTACAGAGGCGGTGCAACGACATCAAATACAGGTCGGGCTTGATTGGCACACAGGTGGTGCACGGCAATTGGAGATGGAAGCGTCCAGGCAAAGGGCGACAGGACTGCGCCGCCTGGTTAGGAGCCCTATTTGAAACAGTTGCACAGCCAAGGCCCAACAGCTGTGTGCGCCGCGAGGGAGAGACAAGGGCAAAGGAGTTTTTGCCCTCATCAATCTTCCGCACGTTTGGGTCCGTTTACGACCATTACGTGCAGTTAATGAACAAAGCGGGTGAGAAGCACGTGTCCTTCCCCACCTTCAGGCGGGCCTGGCTATAACACCATTTTCAGGTACAAATTTTTTCCAATCAATCACAGTGGTTCCCTGCAGTCTATTGCAACACAATGTTGCCTCAACAGGAGTTGTGTTGTGTGCTTTGGCAGGTGCGGCCCTATCGCCACCAGCCCTTTGCCAAGTGTGCTACTTGCACACGTCTGGAGCGCCGGCGTGACCTAGCTGTCCCTGCAAAACGACAACATTTCCAAAACAAGCTCATGGATCACATGAACTACGTCAGAGAAACTAGGTTACGATTTGAAGAATGAAGGCAATGGGCAAGGCACAACACCAAAGACGTATTGTACATTAATATTGATGGGATGGACCAGATAAAAACTGCCATCCCTAGATTTCCAAAATGGTCTAAAGCCGACGAGGTAGGTGTGCGCCTGACCACGAAGCTGATGGGCGCCATCGTGTACGGGAGAGGCTATTGGGGGTTTTGGAGTGTTCCAGAGTGGGCGGCATCTTCCAACCTCACACTGACAGCGATATGCAAGATCTTGAGGGACGTGGATGGACGCTCCGTGCATGAACTGGAACATCCAAAGAAAAGTTCTGCGCTACCTCCAATACTCTTGTTGCAAATGGATAACACTGCCAAGGACAATAAAAACCACAACCTCCTTGGATTCTGCGCCATGCTCTTTAATGAGCAAATCTTTCAGGAGATAGAGGTCCACTTTCTAATGTGGGGCACACGCATTCGGATATTGATCAAACGTTTATTTTGATCAGCAACCGTTTGCGCGACAAGGG